CCCACACAGCTATGTAAGTGGAAAAGGGACAACCTCATGAGCACCCTGAAAGGGTCTTGGGGCCCTCAGAAGTCCTCAGACCACACTTTGATAATCACTGGATCAGCAGTATATTCCAATGGGAAGGGGGAAAAAAAATCTCCCAATGAATGGACAGTTTTTTTGAAAGATAAGCAGTCTGAATCATGGTGTGCTGGAAATTGCAGTATTCTATTGTAGTACAGTGCTTCTCAAAGTTTAATGTATATACACATCACCTGGAATCCTTGTTGAAATTCAGATTCTGATTCAGAAGTTCTGGGGTGAGGCTCCAGAACCTGTATTTCTGACAAGCTCCCAGGTGATGCCAGTGCTGCTGATCCACTGAGTAGCAATGCTGTGGTATGTTGTGCCATACACATCACCAGAAAGCCTATATGAGCATGCACAAGTGAGCTTGTGTGAGCTGGGGGCAGTGAGGTGGGGGGAGAGGGTAAGATAGGGATGGGAAGAAGGGAGAGAGGAGTATAAACTCGCGATCTTTTAAAAAAATCTATAAAGATTTTTGTATAAATCCCGCACTATGACAAGAAATTTAGAAAAGAGATATTTTATTATAAATCCTACACTGCTACTTATTATCTCTATATCAAAGGAAGCTAAGGCATAATGTCGCTATTGAGAGACAGAATCCAACAGCCATATTTGTTGAGGCAGAGGATGGCATTAGATCTGAAGAAATAATTCTCGCCCCTAATAATGTGAAAAATTGAGCAATTGATGGACTCGGTGTTTGGGACTTATATTTAATTAGAGTTATACCATGAAATTACTAATATATGCTCAGCATGTAGAAAATTCAACTAATTTATTTCATGTGTAGAAATCACAGTGTTTTAAAAGCTTTGCAGAGGCTAGTACTGCAATCAACACAAACTTTTCCTCTCCCAAACACTCAACACACAAATCAAACATTATTGGCTAAAATTACTTAATACAATTTAAAACTTACAGCAGAAGCATGAGTATAGTTCATTTGGTCCTCAAATGTTACTTCCCATTTGTCTACAATCCTTCCTTAAACTTAACTTCAATGGCATTCATTTCTAGTCGCTCAGCAAGTTGACCACAAATTGCAGGTTCACTACAAATTCATGTTACCTACCTGGAGCTGTGTCCTTACAGCTGCTCTGCACTTATTCACACCTACTTCATACCATACAGCATACCTTTCCTCTCTTTTCAAGCCCACAAGTCTCTCTGTGAGATAATACTTCAATTTTGTGTTTAAAATTCTGTAACAAAACAAAATGATCATTTCTCCCAAGTCAGCTTTTTCCTTGCCATCCCTAGCATAGTCATACTAAAAATCAAAGCATGGACCTTGGAATTAAGGAAGATCTGAATCTGGATCCTGACTTCGTCACTTAATGGCTATGTAACTTTGGGAACTGTTTAACCCCTCTGAGCCTATTTTTCTCTGTATCTTGGAAAGTAATCCCAATTTTGTAAAGTTGTCATGAGAGTTATATGACATAGCATATATAAATAAAGTCCCTAGGACAGGGAGTGGCACTTAATTGATGTACACACCCTCTCCTCTCCTAACTGGTTCCCAAGATCTAGACATCAAATCCTACTGATACAACTTTTTTTTTTTT